AATATCCTATTGCGAGATCCTGTATGCGTCTCGCTGCTGTCACACCAGACAAGCTACTATTCGATGTGACTTGAGCCTGTGATGGACAAAGCACATCAACTACATTTTGAAGACATTCTTTTACAAATTCTCCATCAGCAAAGGGTTTTCCATGCTTAGCAAATTTTTCTACTATCATGAGACCAACACAAACACTATTTTCAGATTCTTTATTTGCTGTAGACTGCTGAAAATTTAGTTTTGATTTTAAGTCACTCACCTTATCACTTCGAAAATGACCTTCCAATGCAGAATATTTCTCTCTGTGCTTAGTATCATAATGTCTCTTAATGTTGTATTCCTTCATTTAAGCTACACTGTCGTATCAAATAAGGCTAACTGCTTTTACCCTTTTGTACAACCAAAAAATAAAGATCTGACCACTTTTCTTTGAGGGGGGGGGGAAAAAAACTTGAATTTTTTTGTTTTGTTTTGTTTTGTTTTGTTTTGTTATCACAGCTTGCCATTGCGTGCTCATTCAAAAAGACTAAACACTTCTGAATTTTAGAATGTGGAATGAGGGTGAGTAATCTAGCTTCAAATCAACTGTAGAAAATCTGCTTATCACCAAATCAAACATGATGTTTACGATCACCATTCCCTTTGACAACTAATTGCAACATTAGGAGAAATAGAATTCTGTTAATTTATTTCCCTTCCCTTCTATAGTAGAGTTCAAGGCCACCTTTGGGGAAGTATTGATGAAAGATTAACATCTGTTGCAAACCTGTTAGAGATAAGAATCTACCCTTTTATAGAATTTAGATTTTATGGGTAGGCAATTGTTTTATTTTTAAAATTACGAAAGATAGAGTGAAATTTTTGAAAACTTTGTCATTTTCATAAAATTTTATATAAAATAATATCAGGCATGTCAATAAAATGTTTTAAATATCAAGAATAAGAGAAAAAAATTACGACAAAAATCTGACAATTTTCCTTGAAATTAAAATTTCTTTAATTTTTCTTCAAATTCGAATGTGGGGCCACTAAAATGCCTTCAGCGGGCCACGGGTTGAGGACACCTAGTCTACAATAACATGTCTAGAATAAAAACTTAGCCTACCCCCAACACCCCAAAAAAGCAAACTAAATTTAGTAGTTATTATTATTTTTTTAATGTTGGAAAATCTAAAAGGTATGTGATTTTGTGAAATGATGTAGTGAAATATAGACATTTCATAAATTTAAAAAAAAAAAAAAAAAAATATGAAATTGTTTGAAAATTTGTATGTTTGTATGTATGTGTTTAACATTAATATTCTGAATTATTTGAATTTAAGCTGGATTTTTGATAAATGGTAATCTTCAGGATTTTTTAAATGGGCTTGTACACACCACTATGTGAAGAACTGGCAATTTTTATGCAAATTGTGAAAGAGAATAGTAATGCAGTAGACAAAAATATTCATTCAAAAATTTTTAAGATGGCAATCAAATGAATGTAGGAATGTTTTATTTCTTTAGAAGTCAGTTTTAGTTGCTTTAGATAAAATGCAAAAGAATACTTGCAGCAGTGCTGAAGTTGTTAAAGTTCGGAAAGATATTGGAGACAGCTTAAAAAATCTTGATAAAGCATGCATAAAACTATTTAAAACGAAATCTGAAGAATGACTGTCATCAGCACATTTTTTAGTGTATTAACGATTTGGTAATTAAATAGCTAATGTTAGTAGAATTATAAATTAAATTGTTTTATTCCCCATGCAGTGCAACACATAATGAATATTAAGAGAAAGCTAAGCCGGAAAATTAAAAAATACAAGAGCACGGGGCATTTAACATTTAATAAATAAATATCTCCTTTTGATTTCGAGAAACTGCTAGACAATTTCATGCGTGATTAAAAAGCATATAAAAAGGAGGAAAACCTCCCAGTTCTGTTAGTTTTTTTATGAGTTTTGCTTAGAAAACTGCTGTTGTTGACTGTAGCGAATTCGCAGCGAGATTGGATTAGCTTTCTTTACGTTTCTGTTTTAAATTATGTTCTGTTGAATGTTTTTAGTAGTTTAAAAGATAACTACTGTGAGATAATGGAATATTGTACAAATATCTGAGGAACTTAAAGCATTTTGTTTTAGTTGTTGTGATAATAATAAATTTTATTCATTTTACATTTGACTTGTGCGTTCAGTTCATAACGTACCCATACGCACGCAACAGTATTCTATTACGCACGTATAAAGTTGAAGCCCTTTATTAGCAAGTGAAAAAAAAATAGCATTAGAAATATTAAAAGAAAAATGTGCAGACAGTGCTTTGCTCAGCATTATATTAAAATTTGTAATTCATGCTCCACATTTTTGCAAAACCCTTTGTGAATACAAGGCATGTGAATCACTGACTACATATGAGTGGCGCCAATCAGTAAAACTTAATGAAAGAATGCATAGAAGAAAAAGAACTGGATATTTTTAAAATGCACAGTTTAAAAGTACAGCAAGAAATTCATCAGCAGGAATTGAAAGAATGTTTTCTACTTTTGGAATAGTACACAAATTAAGAGATCAAAGACTAAAAGGGGTAGCAAAACTCTTTGTTTTATTTTGTTTAAAGCACCTATCGCAGATATGATGTGATATGTTGTTTTGAAAAAGTTATATATGGAAGATATAAATGTGGTTATATTTCTGATTTTCTGCTTGTATTTATGTAAAAGATATAACTACAAGAATTTTTAAAAAAAATATTTATTTGCGAGTTTATATTTTAAGTGATTAGAGTGACTTTGTGAATTACTAAAGACAAAAAGTTTCCAAGATAATTGCTTCTTATGCTATCAATAAAACTACACTTCTCAAAAGTGAAATTGCAACACCAAGAAAGAATCCTCGTAGCGTAATGCAAATTGCACGATCTAGAGTTGTGAGATGGATATGAAAATGATTAAAAAAACAGACACATAAAAATCTTTATAAACCAATTTATTCCATATCTAATGTGCCGAACTGAGGCAGCAATATAGGCCACAATCCGGCGAGGTACATTGATGGTTATCCTGAGGGGGGGGGCTGCCTTTTCCAAGCCACATCTACTGGTGCACACAGATCATCCAGGGTTTGCGGCCATGGTTCCCGGTTAATGTCATCTCCAGTGACATTCCACAGGTGTTCAATGGGATTCTGATATGGAGAGGCTGCCGGCCAGAGTAGGATGTCAGATCCGTTCAAGCTGTTAAAAGAGTACACTGTGCGTCATGCGGCTTAGCATTGTCTTGCTGGAATACCATGTTGGGTGTGTCCTTCAACTAGGGCAGAACAAAAGGCTCCACAACTTGAATGGTGTAGCAGTCTGCTGTCAAAATGCCGTTAATGTGTACCAGGGGTGTCTTGTGATCAAACATTATGCCACCCCAAGCCATAATCCCGGTGCAGTACCGGTGTGACACTCGCCGAAATGGGCTGTTTCGTACCGTTCTCCGGGTCGCTGTCATATCCGTCGATGGCCATCATTCCTCCACAGAAAAAAACAAGATTCATCCATGAACAAAACCCTAGTGCCATTTGATGGTCCATGCACTATGATGCTGACACCGCACCAGGCATCTAGTCTTTTGTTCAGCAGTCAATGGTACCTGTAAACGTAAGTGTACTACATGCAATCTATTGAGTATAGTTTTGGGTGGACACAGATCTATTTACTCTGGAGGCAACCGACTTCGGATGTCACATGACATGGAGAAGGGTCTCCAATAGTAGACTGCTGAATACACCAATCTGTGCGCTCTGACGTGCACCTTTGCGCAGCATTTCCTTTTCGATGAGCAGGTACACCTTCCTGGAATTCATCATGTGACACAGCGTTCGATGGTATTCATGTTGTGCCCAACATCAGTGATTATTGTGTGCAGCAACAAACCAAATTCCTGGAGTCAATAATACGATCATGCCCCCCCCCAGTCGTTAACTGATGGTATTTAGCTCGCCGACATTTCAGAAGCATTTTCTATGCTTCTTCTAAAGTCTCCAATGCTCCATAAACCCTCAGATGCTATTTGTGAGAAGAGAATGTGGCCGCATATGCATAGTATGTGGTCCAATGCATGCACAACGTTTATCATTTGCATATCCACCTCGCAACTCTTCCCGCAATTTACATGATGCTACACGCATTCTTTCTTGGTGTTGCAATTTCACTTTTGAGGAGTTTATATATGATTTAGATTATCTCTAGTTATTAAATATTACATTAGTTTACAAGTGAAAGTGTGTATTATACTTCTTAATATATAATAATAACAGGTTTAATTACTTGAAAGTCTTTAATGCATGATAACTATTTAATAATTCAGTGTAAGGGGGAAGTATTTAAAATAAAAAAAAAATTGTTGTTATAGACTGTTTACTAGTAATAAGAATCTCTTAAATTTAAATTGTATAGCTTAGCAAAAAATTTTGCTTTGTTTATAGTTCAAAGATGTATAATGTACAGTGTGAAAGGGGAAAGAATTAAAAGCAATAACTGGTGATAATCTTAGTATGTCTAATTCATATAATCTTTTTAATTATACAAATTCTTTTATCTTTCCCTAAAGAACTAATGTGTACTGCATAATTTCCCAGCTTCTTTTTTAGAGTTCTAAAACTAGAGGGGAGAAGAATATTTCATGAATGAATATTGTATTCTTTGGGATGTGTTAAAAATTGAATAATATGATATCACAAATTCAAAAATTAAGATGGAATTGCACATTTTTCAAAAGATTTTTTGTGTAACACATGTTCATACACAGATGTGTATAAGCAGAGAAATAGAAAAATGCTAAAAACAGAGTGGACATGTTTAATAGAAAAGGGGGGGGAAATTAGGTGAGTCAGATATTAGTAACTTCCTTTAACTTTCCTTTATTGTAAATAAGTCGTTTTGTTTTAACTTTTTTTAAACTAGTGAAACTTTTTGCCTTTGACACCAATGAAGTCTCTTCCCCCATTTTTAATAAGATCTTTTAATTTTTTTATTAGGTTGATGTGATGGAGAGAGAAGTAAGTGAAGACCAAGACCCGGAAGAGAGTGAGAGAGATGACCGCACAGAACAATCTGAACATGACAATGTCCCTCCAGAACAAAATGATGAAGGTAGTTACCTAAATGAATTTTAAAGAAATTTGTAATTTTTTTTTACAAAATCATGTATATAATGTGGCATAATAATTTTTTTATTTTCATAAAGGTTTATCATTGAGACTTAATATGGATGAAATTTTTCTAGAGAGTGAAAGTGATAGTGACAGTAATCCTGATAGTGCATCTTATCAGAGTAATCAAGATAATACTAGTGCACAAAGAAGTGCAACAACTGGTGGAGCAACTGCTAGTTCTGACACAGGTACCACTTGTTCAAACTTCCTCTGCAGAAGAGAATTTTTGAAATTTAAAATAATGAATTATCCTGCCATTCTTAAGCATTTAAGATGAAAGTATTTTTAGATCTGAATATGTGTTAGCAAGTACAGTCAAAACTCTTTAATCCGGACGTCCATAATCCCGAATGACCTATAATCCGGACCTTAAAGCTACAAACTTTCTGCGCATGCGTCAATGCATAATGCATTAACGCATGCGCATATGCATCTACACATGTGCATAATGTGTTTAGGCATGCACGTTTAATGTATAACGGACAGTATAAGCTAAGCTAAAATCATCTAATTATCTTTTTCAGTTAATGTTGCAGATTGTGTTGTTCCTTAATCTTCTAATTGGACCCGACTTATTATATTTTGCAGACTGTTAGAGCAATTTTATAAAAGTAAGCTTGAACTTTCGATAATGTGAAAAAGAATTTCCTATTCTGGAGCTACCAAAGGATCTACAAAGCGAAAGCATGTTCCGATGTCCATAAAAAAAAAGTGGAATTGCTGCAAAAAATGGATAAGGGCATATCCTTTGATTCTCTAATCCTTCCGAAATATGTTTATCAATTTCACGCTGCTCTGCGCAGGGGGGGGGGGGGGGGGGGGGGTGACATCGCGTCGCACAATGAGCTGGAAGTTGATCTGTCAGCACTATCCTTATCTTCAGGTCAGATGTTTTTATTTTATTCGGCTTATAATTCCTTACTAAATGTAGTATTTCATGTCGATGTACTCCGTCTTTGATATGATTTAAATCAAATTTCTCATCACTATAAATATCACGAATACACATCAAATAGTTTTCTGGTTGCAATTTTCTAATTTCGACTATGCGTAATGTATGCTTTACGCATGCGCAAGTTGAAAGAAATGTTTAATAAAGTAAACGAATAAATAGAATTTTTTTTGTAAATTTTGATATCCTTTAGATCATAATTGCTCTTATTTCATAAATTACGGTTTCATATTTTTAATTTTATAATTTCTGCATGCCGTCTTACCAGATTTAAACTGATGATCTATAATCCGGAAAACAAATAATCCGGAATCGCCGAAGTCCCGACAAGTTCGGATTAAAGACTTTTGACTGTATAAAATCTTTTAATGCTGCCTATTTATGTAGTCTGTATATTTTTTAATCATATTTAAGTATTAAGGTCTAATAAATAACTTCATTGTTTTGAAAGAAAATTAACTTTTCATGAGTAGACTTACCAAATTAGTTTTTATTGATTAATACCGTATAAAAGTAAATATATTTTTTTCATCATTCCATTTTTATTTTCTTAGAATCTGGTACTTATAAAAACAAAACTGAAAATATTGCCCACATGTATTTCAAGTATTTAATTAATCAGATGGTATCTACTATAAAATTTGAATTTTACAAGTTTTTTCCCTTCTGAATACATTATATTGATTTTAGTTCATAAAAATGTATGTAGGAAGTATATACTGTCTTTTATGTATGTACTGCTAGTTTAAACTCTTAACTGTAAAATAAACATATTGGTAGACTGTGCTTTAAGCATTTATAATGTATTTGCCTACAAAGATAAAACCATATTATTCGAACTATGATATTTAAATTCACTGCAATTCTATAAAATTGCTAAAAGTGGTTAGTTTACAGCTTTAGAGCAGAAACTATTTTTAAAATTTTTAAACAGAAGAGATAATAAACAAGTAATGAACTGAATAAAAGAAAAAAAGATGACGAAGTAATTTTGTTGTATAATTGATTTATATTCCATAAATGCTTCAAGGAATAGAGTAATATTTATTAAACTTTCTTGTTCTGTCTGAACTATAGTATTGTAAAATTAGTAGAAAAAGGAAAGAAATAATTTGTCTCTTCCAAGAAAAATTATAATTTTTTTCAATATCTTATATTGTTTTATGTGGTTTCAAAATCCTGAATTTGATCACTTCTGTAATTAAAGTCTGTATCTTTACTTATTTTGTAATTAGACTTTAAGTGCTTGTATATATTGTACATTATTTAGTGATAAATGACATAATAAATTAACATCAAATTAATTCAATCTGATATTTTCCGAGAATAGTATTTATTCTCGTTAATCTGATAAAATGTAGATTTAAAAATGTGAATTTCATTCATATGAGTTCTCCTGTTTTGCTTTGCTTTTTGTTATTTTTATTATTTATCAGTTCTTTTGTTACCATACTGACAGCTTCTGAAGTTTGAGGTAGGAAATGGATTTCTGTTTAGCGACTGCTGTATTCTCTTGATGTGGATTTGTAAAGCCAGCAAAATTGTACTTTTTTGGAGTAGGAAACAATTTTTTTGATGAACTGTCTTCATTGACACAAGCAATCACTTTCAGTAATGCTTACGTATGTGATGCTTGTGCTTTCAGTGATGCTTAAGGTACAGTCAAAAGTCATTAATTCGGACACCCATAATCCGGAATGATCTGTAGTCCAGACCTCAAAGCTACAAACTTTGTGACGCATGCGCAGAAAATTTGTAGCGTCACGTGGGCGCATGCGCGTAAGACCTTTACGGCTGCACAGATGCATGTGCGCATGTGCATGATACGTTTACGCATGCACGTTTTATGTATAACGGACGGTATAAACTAAAATTATCTAATTATCTATTTTAGTTAATGTTGCAGATTGTGTTGTTCTTTAATCTTTGAATTGGATCCGGCTTATTATTTTTTGCAGACTCTTAGAGCAATTTTATAAAAGTAAGCTTGGAACTTTCGATTATGTCAAATAGAATTTCCGATGCTGGAGCTCCCAAAGGATCTACAAAGCGAGAGTATGTTTTGATGTCCATCAAACAAAAATTGGAATTGCTGCAGAAAAGGGATAAAGGCATATCCTTTGTTTTTCTAACTATTCCAAAATCTGTTTATCAATTTCACACTGCTCTGCAGTCGGGGGGGGGGGACGCCTTGGCACGCAATGAATTGGAAGTTGATCTGTCAGCACTATCCTTATCTTCAGGGCAGATGTTTTTTATTTTATTTGGCTTATGATTCCTTACTAAATGTAGTATTTCATCTCGATGTACTCCGTCTTTGATATGATTTAAATGAAATTCCTCATGATTATAATACGCTTCCGATAGTGAAGAAAGTAACACAGAGGTTATTGAAAATGAAAAATTTTTGATTGTCAAATTAGTCGGTATTCTCAACACAGCAATTATAGGACTTGAACAGCGGAATTTTGTAATTGAACAAGAAATTATGTCTGTTTATAGAATTAAAGAGAAAGTATTATCACATCAAACAAAGCAACTTAAACAACTTACATTGAAGTAATAGATCATCATAACTATATATATATTGGGTTTTAACAAAAGTTTCCTGCCATCACAAAAATTGTGTGCACAATAGCTTGCGTTACCATGTTTAATTATATTTTGTCAAATGATTTTTAGCATTTGAAAGAAAAACTTTAGAACACTGTTTTGTGGATTTGTAAGAAGAAAATATCGTTATCATTAAGCGCAAGGTGTCTGAAACGGAACTATTACGCTATCAGATTAGAACCATCATTTGCTTTCAGTTCTGTTGCAAAAAATCAACTACAGAATGGCACCAAATCATGTGTATAGCTTTAAGTACTAATGTCGTATCATATGACACTGTGAAGGTTTGGCACCGAAAGTTGAAAAACAAGGACTATAACATTCAAGAAACAGAGTGCTCTGGCCGACCTACTGATGTTGATGAGGCCCGCCTATGAGAACTTGTGGAAAAAGATCTGTATGCAACCACTCAAGAGCTTGCTAAGGAGTTAGATGTTAGTGCCATGTCCATTAGTCGTGCTATGCATTGCATAAACTTGACGTAAAAGTTCAGTCGCTGTTTTGAATCTTCCATTCTGCACAGGGCATCCGAAAAGAGGTTAATCTGATTTTGAACTTCTGCGCTGAAGGCTTTGAAAAACTACCAAAATCTTGGCAGAAATCATAGATTTGGAGGGTGATTACTTCCTACGCTAAAGGTACTAGTTTCATGTTTCTTTTTTTCCCCCCTAACTTATTAAGAACCTTTTTTTTTTTTTTTTTTTGGTGGAAAACTTTCGTTACTACCAGATATATATTTCTTTTTCTCTCCCATGCAATCTGTGTATTTTTACGTATCTGAAGATTGTTGCAACCGAATTTTTAAGAGTTTTATTAACTATTGTGATCAGTGATTGATGTTTTTTCATGTTTCTATAACAACCGGAAACATATTGTAGTATTTTAGAAAACTATCTGTTTCATTTGATGAAATTTACATCTACCTTTGTGCATAATACACTGGTTATCATAAATTAAGGAGAAATTACAAAAATAGCGATCGTTCCCTCAAAAATAAGCCAAGCCGTGTAAAATTTTAATACATTGCCAAGTAAGAGTAGCTGAGTGAAACTCCAATATGCAAATTAGTGGCCCTGCACTCGGAATACGTCATCTGCGACGAGCATAAAAGTTCATGCTTGAGAGCAAGCCCACATATTTCACTGCGATAGTGACATCAGAAATCTGAGATAGCCAATTTGTAACAATGATCTGTAGGCATCATTTGCCTGCAGAACTGCGACAGGAAGCCATTGGGAGACGAGAGGCAGGACAATGTCAAACAGAAGTGGCCAGGTGGCTAAATGCGAGTCCTTCTGTGGTTCATAGACTTTGGAGGCAATTTCAAATCACAGATTCGGCACCTAGGAGGTTCAGCCAAGGACAGGCAACTGCTACAACGAGTGCCAATGACCGATATTTGACATTATGTGCACTCAGGAATAGAACCACTACTCCGACTCTTCTTAGATCCTCCCTTGCTGCAGCCACCGGAAGGTTGGTGTCAATGTCAACTGTGCGTAGAAGGCTTCATGAAGGTGGTTTGTATTCGATCTGAACAGCCATTTGCATGCTGGTCAAGTCACATCATAGGAGGGACCATTTGCAGTGGGGACGACAACATGTCCACTGGATGCCTGAGCAATGGAGGGCTATTCTCTTTACGGATGAGTCCAGGTTTAGTCTATAACGTGATAGTAGGCATTATTTGATATGGAGAGAACCTGGAACCCCTTATCATCCGTCAAACATCCGTGAAAGAGATGCATAGGAAGAGGCAGTGTCTGTGTTTGGGGTGGCGTCTCTGTGGGTGGATGCACAGACCTACATGTTTTTCCAAGGGGAACCGTGAATGTTCATGTTTATAGAGATGACATCCTTGATGCTTATGTGCACCCATACGCCGGGGCAATAGGTGATGCTTTCCTGTTACAGGACGACAATGCAAGACCACACAGGGCTCGCATCGTGTATGATTATCTTCAACAGGAAACAATTATGCACATGGAGTGGCCAGCTCGATCCCCGGACTTGAATCGTATTGAGCACGTTTGGGATGCTTTAGAGAGACGTTTAGCTGCTCTCAATCCGCCCCCTCAAACCCTTGCCACGCTTGCAACTGCTTTGCAAGAACAATGGCTCTCGCTTACTTTGAAACTGATAGACCACATAATTGAAAGCATCACACATCGCTGAATGTGCTGTATTGCTTCTAGAGGCGATTATATTCCAAATTGAAGGTACTTTTAACTATAGCAAACTGACATCTTCAATTTGTTCATCGTATACATGTGCTAATTTCTATACTACCATACTTGTCTGATAATTTCTTTTTATGTTATTTGATACCTTACTATGTGTTGTATATTGTGGGTAAGTTTCACAAAATTCTACATGTAACTTTTTCAGTAATCGTCATTTTTGTGATTTTTCCGTAATTTATGATAACCAGTGAAGTTTATTAGACACAAATTTATGACTTGTAGAACTGCATTTTGATGTTGTCGTTAGCTTCTGGTGTTGATAAAGAGAAATGATGATCACTTTGCACACAGAAAGTTGTCATCTTTGCATACTTAGGGTTTAAATTTTGAAAATGTTTTTTGGTATGGAATTTGATTAAGCTACAATATGCTGTTAATAATAAAGATATTGGTTTGGCAGTAATAAGTTTATTAAGATGTTGTCATGCAGTCATGATTTTGCTTTTCAAATTATTGTAATTATTGTTATTTATGTTGCTTTAACTTTTGTTTGTGTTGCCATTTTTCATTAGTTTGTCAATTTCAATTTCTGTCTTTTACTGTTTTATTTGAGAGAAAAAGAGTGATTATTATAAAAAATATCTAAGATGGCTTAGTCAGAATTTATAATTAATATTTCTGAGCAAAGACTTTTTCAGAAGGAATTATGTTTATTTAAAAAATTTCAAGTACATAGAACAAGAAGCATTTTAGATGAAAAACATTCAAATGAATATGATGGAGATATGCTTTACATACATCTGGATGGGCTGTAGCATTGTTTTTTTATGAGTACAGTCAGCCAAACTTATTCGCAAAAGACGGAAAAAGATGAAAGAAATGCGAAGAACATTTAAAGCACTATTTCTGTGACCATTGTAAATTGTTGAAGAAAATAGAATAGAATGGTGTGGTCACATACTAATGAGGTGTCTCTTGTCCTTAGGAACCAGAGATGAAATATTGAAGAGAGCTAGGAAATGGAAATTGTTTAGAGCTCAAGGTCAAACTCGTGCTGTGTCCTGTAAGTATTACATTGAAGTTTCAGCTGGTTGTGAAAGAAAGGAATAGTGTTGAATAGTTGGCGTGTGCCTAGAACTATGTGCCTATTAAGAGTTGTAACTGAGGTATTGAATTATACTGAAATCAGTTCTATTTTGATGTGTTCGTTTTTTATCTGTGTTTCTGTGGGTAAATTTTTGGAAGGTCTTGTAGATTTGCAGAAAAACCACAGTTTTTAGTTGTATGGTTTTAACTTTTGTGACATTTGTCTGAAGGTATGATTTTGGTTGGTATCATGGTCTGGAAACAGTATAAATACCTGTGAAAACTGCTTTTTGATAGAGGTCTGGTTTGGAGATAATTCTGTGTGTTTCTGAAGATGAATCTGCTCCTCCTTTATGGTAACAAATACTGAATAATCATAAAACTTCTAAAATTACTTTTTCTGTTTTTGTATTAAACTTGATGCCTGGATGTCTGAACCTTCTTGGGGTACTGAAGAAAAATTGAGGACTCTTGTAAAGTAAATTAGAGATTTGCCTGTTTTTACACGTGGAGTATTAAAAGTAGTATATCTAGTATGTTGATATATTTATACATGGTGGTGTAGGTATATGTAGTAAATACTGATAACTTTAATAACTATTATTCTTAATTTGAAATTCCATCCTCCCCGCAGGTGTTGCAAGTCTTCCATATTTCTCCGAGGATGACTCAGCTGAATCCTCCAATGCTGAGGATGAAGAAGAAAGTGAAGCAGGGGAAACAGAGCCGGACACTGAAGATGCCTTTTTAGATGAACAGTTAGAGCGACGAAGTAATGGTGGCTCATCTGGTCCCAGACCAAATCTAGCACCACAACATATGCAGTGGGCACTTCGTCAGAGAGAACCAGGGCGTGGGCCCATCACTACCTCTGGTAGGTTGGGTATGTCAAATTTATCTACTCTAATTTACAGTAAATTGCTGTAAGATTTTTATTATAATAAAAATTTGCGACATTTAGATAGTTTTAAATTCTGATTATCATTAATCATATTTACTTAATGAAATTTAATATCCAGTAAATGCTGAATATTTTTTAATATATGTAGCCTGTTCAAATATATTGTGAGAAACTGAAGGGGACAAAACACTGACAGATTAGAGTATTTTAAAGAAGTGAAACAAATAAGCAAAAAAAAAAAAAAAAAAAAAAAAAAAGTTCAGATATAATTTGGCTGTTTATATTCAAAATACTTGACAGCTAAAAAAATCATGTTTTTGTCTTTTAATTGACTAATTTAATCATTTAATAAGTATTTTTAACTTGAGTGGGTGATATTGAATTAAACGTGCATATTTGAATTTACTAGAGCAGTACCATGTTATCGTTTTGTATGTGTTCAAATAAATATAGACAATGAAAAATAATCTCGAGAAAGTTAGGATTGCATAAAGGAATTTTTTATTTTTTTTATTTTAGAGTATGGGTAAATACCAGAGTTAAAAACATTTTTGTAAGTTTAAAATAATATGATTATTTGGAAGTCTTTATTCATGTGATTCCTATTATTTCAAGAACTAGTTTCATTCATAGTTACACTGATAATGAGTAAGGTAAAATTTTGTTTTTAACTTTAAAATATTTTTGTATGCAAGTATTACAAAAATATGTGGTCAAATAAACTCGTTAATGCTGTTAAAAGAAGAAAAGAGCTGTAGAAATAGAAATTGAGTTTTAAAAAAATAATTCTAAAATATTTATTTCCTTGAGAAATCTGTAAGACTTTTATCGTACAACATTAAATTATATGAAAGTATTCTTGTTTCTATGCTAAGCCTGAGCTCACATATTTTAGTATCTGATATAAGTTAATGTAAATGATAATTGCAAAATTAATCAGAAACAAGTATGAATTTATTGATACTGAAATTTATTGATTACTACCTTATAATTTAAGCATGGGATTTTGTTCCACTTTTAAGCATTTCTGCATTGCATGAGAAAATTGTTTGTTAATATCAAAGACATTCTATATGTGTTTGATTCCATTTGAAACAATGTGTTGGAAAGTAAATACTATGACAGAATTACTCAGCTAGTTGCCTTTTCCCACTCGTTATAACTTTAAAATTGTATAAAGCGTATTTTGCAACCTTGTTAAATTGCACAATTGTTTTAAAATTTTAAATAAAAATTTCTCATAGCAAACAGGAGTGGGCACATGCAAGAAAAAATAATGAATGCCATAATAGCCTTTGCACAGGCTGGAAAATCTTTTTTTATATCATGCTGAGTATTAACCCTAGTAGCACTCATTTTTGAATATGAGGACCTGTATTCAAACAACATTTGTTAGCTAAATTTGTGTATTACTTTAGTCTCTGTTTTCATAAACTTCCATTCATTGAGATGATACTTACATTATTAATGAAAGTAAAAATGGCAAAATATTTTAAATTATAAGCTAATATATACCAAGCTTCAAATAATTGGCTAAAGCTGGTCATGCCACTCAGAAGGTTAATGTTTGGAGTTTACAATCAAATGATTGCTTACAGCTAGTAAAATACACAATACTGTATACAGTGAGCAGAATTGTGTATCTGGTTTCCAATAGTAGATCTGAATAAATATTTACCAGTGATTGGGAAATACAAGTAATATTCTATGCATTTATTTTAGGTTCAAGTGGTTTGATATATATAGATCCATCTTCTCTGAGAAGAGCAACTGGAACTACAGCTTCAGTTTCTGCAACTGTTACTCAAGAATGCACAGCAGCAGCTGCTACAACATCAGTATCTCTTGCTAGAGCATTTGCAATTGTTATGAGACAGATTGCAGATCTTCTAACTATGCTGCAAGATTACCAAGCTTTAATGCCCAATTTAGGCAGAGTGCTAGATGTCTCTGGTCAAGATATAGCAAATTTACAGGTATGTTAAAAGTGCTTACCCTAATTTTAAACTTTTTCCATAATATCAAAACTTATTAATAGTATGGTTTGCAAAACAATATTAAAATGTATGTCATTGATATATTTTCATTTTCATACATGACACAATACGTCTTTAGAAAAGTATTCATTAGAAGTGTGGTTTATCTTATTAGTATATTTATTTTCTTCCTTTATCGTAGGTATATTTGGAATATCATTTGAGGCCAACTTGGGAATGGTTAATAACTGTTATGGATTCTACTGAAGCTCAGCTGCGTTTTGGTTGTGCCTTAACTTCTGGATCCAACCCATCACATCCTTCTCATCCTTTGCATTTGTCACAACATACAAGGTCTACTAGATCTAGAGGGGAATCTGAAGGACGTGCTTCAAGTAGCACTGTCGATGGACGTCGCAGAGGTTTTTTTTTTTTTTTTTTCTTTCTTTTTCCAAATAAGCTGTAATAAATGGCAATGTTTTTTTAATAGGTTGTTATTTTAAGTACTGTATTTATTCTCATATATCTTGTTACATACACATCTTGTATCTACATTTCCTAGCCATAATCATACCTTTTGTACAACATATGCAAAAATATATATGTAAGAAATAAAGTTAATTTTTTTAGCATTTTATAAAATTTTTAATGATTCTTTTCTGTTAATGTAGGTGCTGATGGTGTTTCTGCTAGAAGAGATTTCCTTTCATATGCATTATCTCTCATGAGAGCCCACAATAATGAACATTTTGATTCATTGCCAAGCCTTGATATAAATGCATTGAAACATGTTGCATATGTGTTTGATGGACTAATATATTATATACGTTCTGGAGTGGATGGAACTGACACAGATACAATGAGAGGAGAGGGCTTAAATTTAGATCCATGGGCCGATCAGGTTATTCTTAAGCTCTTTTATGTCATAGTTTACATTTTGTTATTTCACTATTAAAAGATAGAATGACAGAATCAAACTTTATTTTGAAATGCTTTGATCTTAGTTTGCTGTTATTTCAAAATGCTGAAATTTTTATAAATAAAGATTAAGTTGCCCTTCTAAATAATATGAATGATTTGGTCTGTGCATTTTATTTAGTCCCCACAGTATTCTGATTTCTTATATAGGATGAATAAATGTGACTTATGGCTTACATCATTGTATTTTTGTTCCTCTAACTGAATTTTATTATTTATATTATCTGTTGGATTTACTGTACTATACTGTTGCCTTATCTTTAACCTTTTTATCATTTAAATTTCTCTTGCTCATAAAAAACTGTATTTTATGTAAATGGAGAAAGTTTGAGCAGCATAATATAATTTCTTGAATAATTTTACAGGATGAAATCGTTTTACAGGATGAAAATGATAATGAAGAACAAGAAGAAGAAAATAGTTCAAATATGCCTATGGAAGTTGAAGGAGCTGAAGATGAAGGACATATTTCAGCTAAAGGTCGTAAACATTCTTTTTTTCAGCGTTCTGATTCTACATTATTTTTAGGCTGTCCTCCACCAGACCCATTTAACTCTCCTTTGGCTGAATCCTTGCTATTAGCTGATCAGCCACATCTTTTACAACCTACTTCCAGAAAAGAAGAACTTTTTGGAATTCCTAGATCGTCATCTGCACATTCAGACTGTAATCTTTCAGTTACATTGCCTTCAGATAATCCCATTTGTGGGTATTTTGAATCTGTGCCTACAAAATTAGGTTTATCTGTTCGTGCAGCTGAAGTCCGACGACAGACTCCTTCACCATCACAATTACCAACTGTTCATTTACCTTTATCTGTACGTCATCCACCTCCCCCACTTCCTCCACCTGAATATGAGGACAGGGAAAATTCTGGAAGTGCAAGTGATTCTCGTAGATCCCATTCAGATGATGTAGATATGCGAAATGAATCTTTTTCAAACTGTTCTTTGCCTAGCAGATCAAGTTTTGAAGGACAGGAATTTGCTATAGCTATGACTACAAATAACAGATCAGCATGTAAGACACCTGACTACGATGCAGAAAACTTTGTCAATCAAGTGTTATCAGAACCATCTCGAGCTCCTATTATAGTTACCGCTCCTTGCAAGAAGTTTGATAGTGTAAGCCCAGTGAAGTCTAGTGTCATCGTTCATGCAGGCTGCATTCGACAATCAGCATCATCTGTAAGATATTTTTAATGCTTCATATTATGCTTAGTAAAATATAACTAAAATAGCTTAACTTCAGAGCTATTTTTTATACTTTTGTAAATTAAAATAGTTCATAACTTTTTGACATTTAATTCTCATATTAATTGGCACATCATAAGAAACCTATAGAAAAATGTAATGGTAAATTTGCCAATAAATTAACTAAATTCTATTTATAGCTTTTCATTTTAAATTAAATTAGATCATTACTTTGTGTCAGCTTTAAGAAAAACCTCATTATCTAATCTGATTTTTTGCTTAACACGAAGAGAATTATAAATGGGTGTTATTAAAATAACTAAGCTCAATGAAAAACCAGAATAATTTTATTGATTAATAATTCTTTTTATACCATAATGTGGGGAAAGGCAATGACCATAGTTGATAGCACACATTTATTACTATTCACAAACATAGATTACATTAGGATTACAATTAATGAAATAATATACGAGCAATCGAGCGACGTCTGCTCCGCTCGCCAGCTAGTCCTTGTCTTCTCCCAAAGGCGGGAAAACACATGCTGATGCAATGCATATGTCACACAATAGGGGATTAGGGAATATCATGAAATAAAATTTCCCACTTTCGACAATCATGACCAGACATGCAACCTCGCCTGAAGCAACATAATATATAATCAAATTTTAAAAAAATATTATAATATAGTAACATAGGTGTGAGAAAAAAACATAATCTGTAGATACAAAGCTGAGAATACTTACACAAATGGAGCAAAAAAATAAATTAAACACACCACAGCAGTTAGCTAAAAATAAAAAGAGCATTAGTTATGACAAAATGAATTAAAAATTTGATATGAGGAGAAAAAAATATTAGAAAGTTCTCAGGTGTCATCTGTCCAAACACAGGAGGACCTATAATGCTGACAGTTTAATAAAAATCAAGTGTTCAATATTCTTGAAACCAGGGTTTCATGTATTTGGCACAAGTGGATATTTTGGATGGTCCGTCGAAAAATGCACACTTTTCCACATCATATGTTTAATTTTGTTTGAGATTGGTGACTTTATAAGGTCCGAGAAATTTCTGTTTGAGTTTTAGACCAGGGCCAAACTGAGTTCGTTTCATTGACACAAGGTCATGAAGTTGAAATTTTTGTGCTTGTTTTCATCGCAAATTATAAGTACGGCGATTTTCGTCTTGCACTTTAGAGATTTGCTGTTTTGAGTTCTTACGGAGATCGTCACGTTGCTGAATGAATGCAAATTTGATCTCCTCGTCGATTAGAGCAGCGATGTTGATGTCGTTTTGCGATTTCATTTTAGTCCCAAAGAAAAGTTCAAAGGGAGTGGAATTGATGCTACGTTGAAAAGTTGAATTAATAATTTGTTGCATGGCGAGAACATTGGCGGTACCATTTTCCAGGGTTGGTTACGGAGAGTTTAGAAAGGACAACAATAATAATGGAGTTCAAACGCTCAACTTGACCATTCGATCGTGGGAGGCCAGCTGTAATAAGAACGTGCTTTATTCTCTGTGTGTCACAATAGTTTGCAAATGCAGTGGATTTGAATGCAGGGCCTTGATCAGAGATAATCCGTGAAGGATTTCCGAAGACTGATCTTTGACATTCCAGCTGACTGATAATTTCATCTGCATCTGTAGACTTTGTCGGATAAATTCACACGAATTGTAGTAAATGAGGCTATAACTGCCAAAATATGTTTGTATTTCTTTGATGTGGTGGCAAGGGGACCTAGGTGGTCAATATGGTACGTGTGCAAGAGTGCGTCGTCTTTGTCAATGGGGTGCAGTAGTCCATCTTGTTTGCCACACTTTCGATTATTGAGGATGAATGGGATGCAGTTATGGATACACCGCTCAATTTTTTCTTTCAGATTTGGGAGGATATATTCTTTGTTTAAAAGTTCTTGAGTGCGAATTATGACGAAGTGGCCTTGTTCGTGAGCTGTTTTAATGACATTTGCCTGCATATCATCAGACACCACAAGTAAGTCAATGCCGTTGACGTTTTTGTACAGGAGATTGTTCTTAACGAGAAAGTTATCATGCGAAGGCGTTGTTTGAAGGAGTGCTTTAATAGCCGTAATATGCTCGTTGGTTTCTTGTGCTTTGCGAAATTGGAGAAGGACACTGTCTTGGATAGTCATGCAACATGGACTGCGACTGAGGGCATGCACATGAGCCATCTTTGAGCCGATACAGTGCTCAATTTCGTAGTCAAAATCTTGGAGATATAAAACCCATCGGGCTATTCTCGAATTGAGTTCCTTTTTATTTAAAGTTTGCACAAAAGCGTTGCAGTCAGTAATAATTTTAAAATGTGAACCAAGGACGTAAATACGGAACTTTTTTAAAGCTTCAACAATTGCAAGGACCTCGAGTTCATAATTGGTGTATTTACGCTCGTTGTCTGATTTTTTTTTTTTTTTTTGACATGTAGTAGACAGGGTGAAAGCTGTTATCGTTCATAGATTTTTGTAGTAGGACTGCCCCCAAGCTATCAATGGATGCGTCGGTATGAATTTCGATAGGACTGTTTTGATTAAAAATACTTAAAACTGGTTGTTGAAAAAGCAAATATTTTAACCTGTGAAATGCGGCTTTCTAATCAGCATGAAATAGAAAGGGGGTGTGAAGGAGATCACTAAGGGGTTTTGCAATGGCGGAAATAACGACATCGCTCATGTAGGATAAAACATAACCTTTGACAATTAAATGACCTAAAACATAATTTATAAAGCGCTGGAATAACATAACATAACAATAGGACGCTTCCTTCTTATGAAAAGAAGGAAAGGAGTTTAGGCAAAATTGCCCATTACTCTTTCGCCATTTGATCATTTAAATCAAGGGATTTAAATGGTAACTCCCGTAAAAGGTAAATAATAAATAGATAAGATCTCAAAATGACACCAAATCTATAGTATCAGCAAAAGATCCCATCTCTAAGTTCAAGGTGTCGGCTGGATCGTAAAAACTTCCCTATTGGATGGAAAACCGATTCAATCCCTCCCAAACCACCAAACGCAAATTCTTGACCAAACAAGAGTGCGATGGAGAGTCAAATAAATAAATAAATAAATAAGGAGGGCAGAGGTGCATTCTCAAGCCAAATGGCCAGGTAGTGTATAAAGATTTGATATCATTATATTCCAAAACACAGCTATGAGAGGGAAATCCCTGCATAGTTTCTTTTCAAAAAAAAAAAAAAAAAAAAAAAAAAAAAAAAAAAAAAAAAGAAACTCATAGGGCGTCTCAATGCTTGTTTCTTGTGGTTCCATATTCACCTTACCTGTAGGTGTTTAGTATACATCAGAAACCCTATTATGCCAGAGAGCCCTTTGTATAAAAGGGCTTGATCAAAGGTAATATAGGGAAACCCAAGGAATTTGTTTCTAGGGACAGAGAACACCGGACATCGTCCCAGAAAGTGAAAAGGTGTTTCCTCTTCTTCTCCACAAGCTGGGCAGAGAGGAGATTCGACAAGACCACATTTGTGGAGATGCTTAGCTAGATAAGCATGTCCAGTAACAATTTGAATTACCTGGCGTAAGTTAGTTCTACTGAGGTGTATGAGTTTACCTGAAAAGTTAAGTGTACTGAGCACCAATTTAGAATGAGCACAGTCTGGAAGTTTAGACCATATATCATCATGTTTGTTCTTTATCCAGCTTCTTACTTCTTTTTTAACCGTTTGATATGAAACTGGGTAAAATGGTTCTGGGCCAGACATGGGGTAGTTGCGAAGCATCTTTAGCTACTTTATCAGCTAGTTCATTTCCAGCAAAATCACAATGACCTGGGACCCAGACTAAACTAATGGTATTATGGGCCTGAGCCAGAGAATTGAGATCTTGAGTACAGTTCAAACACAGTTTTGTAACTTGACACGATTAGCCAGGGCAATGATGGCTGATTGGCTGTCAGAGAGAATATATATATACTTATCAACTGTATTTTTAGCTAAGAGCTCCTGGCGACCATATTGATCGCCAGAACCTCGGCTTGGAAAACAGTTGTAAATTTACCAAGGTATAGATGAAATCTTCTTCAGATCCCTTGGTCCTTATAATAGCTCCAGCTCCAGTGAAGTTGGATTTTGATCCATCTGTGTAACATTCAATTGAGCCTGTTGGAATTAGGTCAATTAGAGATTCTATCTCATTCCTTTTTGGTATATGAGTTGAGAATAGTTTATCTGGAACTATTGTTTTAGTCTTTGGGCATATAGATTATAGGGAACTCATTGCCCAAGTCCAGACATATGTCAATGTGGCTTTTCAGGTGGCTTTTATGACCAAAACCTGTCCTTTGGCACCATGTGCCATTTTTATTCAATCTATACATGGCTTTAATTGCTTCTCCGCTCAAGAATAATTTCAAGGGTGGAATTTGCAGTAAAAATTCTAATGCAGCAGTAGGGGTACTATTTAAAGCCCCACTAATGCTTAGGCAAGCAAGTCTTTGCACCTTTTGTAAAATGTTTAAATACGTGCTTTTGTTAATAACATTAATCCAGACCACGCATCCGTAAGAAAGCATTGGCCGGACAATGGCAGTATAAATCCATAGAGTAGATTTTGGGTTAAGGCCCCATTGTTTACCAACGATTCGCCTACAAAGTACTAGAACATTTGTGGCCGTTTGCGCCTTTTCTTTTATATGGGTGATCCATGTAAGTTTACTATCCAGGTAATCTGGTGACCCAGATATAAATCTGCCAGTTTCCATTTCCTTCTCCACGTGAAAACTATGACCTCAGATTTTTCAGCAGAGAAAGAAAGGCCATTTGTATCACCCCAGTGTGAAACTTTATTTAAGATCTGCTGAGCTTGATTATGTAGGGTTCCGATATCGAAACCCTGTAATAACACAATAAGGTCATCTGCATAAGCCTGTGACATGCCAGGTTCCTCCCGTAGAAGTACTAAGAGTGAGTCGAAAACCAGGTTCCACAGGAACGGAGAAAGAATACCACCCTGCGG